CCAGGTTTTGGTGCATTGTAGTAGAACCTGTCTCTTATACACATCTAGATGTGTATAAGAGACAGCCTATGTTGGAACCATATACTACCGGGATTTTCTAGTCCCAAATATATAATTTTTACCATTAACATATATTTAATTATTTTTTACGGAGATGCAATATTCGGTCCAAGTTCATGATGATTCTGTAGAAAAATACGAATAAAAAGTTGTAGAACACATTGCCGTCACGAAAGGGTTAAGAGAAGTGTGGAAATTGGAAAAGTGTGGCTGTTCCTGGGATTATGGATGGAATGGATGTTATTGCATGGAATGATGGCGAGCTTGATAAGTTGGAGTTTTATATGTTCTTTATGTCTACACTATTCGACTGCTGATGTCACTAAATTTTGTAAAGAAACAAGCAATAAAAAGTATGGTATAATGGTAATAATAATTATAATAAGAAAATATGCGTTTAAAAATTGCTTTTTAGTGACAACATTTCTAAAGAATAGAGTGTCTCTGATGTTACACATCTACAGTGAATTTCTAATTTTATTTCCATATAATAAAGAAATTAATTATTAATTTTTTCTGATATACGAAAAAAATTTGAATTTTCAAAATTATTCATTGTGTCAATTGATTCATGCATTGTTCCTGACTTTACGCAGTTGTACAAAATTTCAGATCGATGGACAGGTAGAAGACTAGAAGTGTGTTGAATATCGATTATAAGATTTCTAGCAGACAAAATTATTTATTCAATTTGTTTAAATTGAAATTTTTTAGATTTTTAAAATCATACATCCTGTCAAGTGTCAAAGTGTCAATTGATTCATGCATTGTCTCGTAACTTTATACAAGTGTTCAAAATTTCAGATTGATTGGTGAGGTAGAAGTGTGTTGAATATCGATTAAAAGATTTGTAGAATAGTAGCAGACAGACAAACAAACAAACCAGAAGTGAAATTAAAGAGATGTGTTGTGATAAAATAAAAAGACAAAGTATTATCTAATGTTTTGGGAGCTAATAATGTCTGTAAAACATATCTCCAAAACTACCATGCAATAAGTGGGACCTAGCACAGTAGCAAGTAGCAATAGCCTAACCAACAAATCAACATATTTAAACTTAAATTATTCTCCCTCTCCTGTGCCATCCCATTTTTTTATTTAATCAACCTCTTACTACTACATCAACCTCTTTGGTGGATAGCTAGAGGTCAGCATAGGCTGCATAGCCCAAGTCCACAGAGCAATTCATAATTTCATATACCTTCCCGAGCGTAATGCAGCTGGGCATCTTCACGGCTTTTGATACAAAGCGCGCCGCCCATCACAACAGCGCCGTTCAGTCACAGGCCAGGCAGCCGCCAGAGCACATAAATGATGATAAAGGCTGGAGCGGCGGAGCCCAACTGGCCGGAGCGCAGCAGGGTCAGGTGAGCAGACCCTACCACAACAGCTACTCCTAACATAACGTAACCTAACCTAACCTGCGCTGCCTGTTGCGGTAGGGCCTTTTGCGCTCCGTCCGGCCAGTTGTGATGAGAGGTCATAATGTACACCATTTGCTGATTCAACACACGGGGATGGGACAGATACAGACAGGTTGGTGGCATGCATCATATGCACTGCAAGGCTCCAGCATGCTCCATCCGGGTGGTATAGAATTTTTTCGTGTATTGGCAGACAATGCTGGGCCATACTACGTCTGACTACCGTCAAATGAGGTAATAAGGGATAGTTTTGGGCGTTTTTTGTTAATAACTTCTTACCATGAAACATTTCATAAACAAGTTTGAGCTCATTCTAAATCTCTTTTGAGAAGGCTATCGTAATACATCTTAAAAAAAATCCATATGCTATGGGTAAGGTGACGCAAAATAAAAGTGTCCCAAATTACCCATGGGAATGGGGTAATCTGGGACACTTGACATAAAACTTAATTTTAAAATGTTTGAAGCATGCAGAGTGTACTCATCCATTACTAACAGTAATCTGAAGTCCTCCTCTTCCTTTGTAGATGATGTAGATGTAGCATAAATGACATTTTCTGCAATTTTTACATGTTTTTCCTTTATTGGTATATTACCTTATCCATACATTACCGTATTATTGACTTGATATCATTACCGTATCCATGAACATGCCATCAAGCATTTTCAATGGCCTTGTCCACTGCAAGCTTCATGTCGACAGCCATATAGCATTTCTTCTGTATCTGTAAGCTTACAGGATGGCTTGTAATTTAATTCAATTTTAATTGGGTCAATTGAATACTATAACAAAAAATATTGTAAAAAAACATCCATGAAACAGGAAGGAATATTTTAATAACAACCATCATATTTTTTGGAGAAATAAATCACAGTTTAGGACTTTAGGTTATTTACTTTTCATTCTATGTTGCCTGGGGCACAATTCTATCTATGGCAATCCACGAACAATTTTGTGATGACCAACGCTGCATTAAGTTTTCATTGAGTGAAATTATTTTCGCTGAGCAAATCAAAATTTTTTGTTGTTAATTGATTTTTTTTTGTTAGCTGGAGCCTTTGCTAATCAAGGTTCTACTGTAATTGCGTTTTCAGGGGTGTCCTTTGTTACCCCGTTTTTCGGAATTAGCCACCATTTTTTTGATGAGATGCACAAATACCGTCAATCCTGTTTTTAAGCCAACTCCTGTGCGCAACTTTTATTTACGTAAAATTTTGTAATACAGCAAATATTATTTTTGCAACAGACCTTTGCAGAGGTACTTTTCCAAAATCTCACTTCTCTCTCTTTTTTTCAGGGATTTTTGAGAGGTAGGAAATATATGATTTCTTAACTTGCTTTATGCTACATATTTAGTAGAAATGGTGAACTTTACACCACTATTTTTAGTTTTGCAATATTTTGATTAGCTTAGCTGCTGCAACATTTCCACAAAATGGGAGGATGACTGTCCTAATTTACCCCACCTGTCCCTTATTACCCCATTTGACAGTATATTTATGAAGCCTATGTTCATAACTAAGACCCTGCCTCCTAGGTAGGGTTTTTGTATGAAAAATGTATTATATTTTTATCTGCTTTTTTTCCGACAGATTTATCAAGCATTGCAAGTTTCCCTTGTGCAGTCATATTAGACTAAAGTATCTGGAGCTCACCAGTGTCTGAATTTATATGCTGAAGAAAGACAATGTTAAAATTATAAAATTTACAATATTCTATTCCCAAAATGTTTTGAATTTCTTTGAACTTATAATGAATTTTTTATAAATGTAAATGTTCTTTAGTTATTTTTTCCTCAACTTTATGTGCATTGACGAATAATAATAAGAATTTCAATATATACTTCTGAATGGTCTTTATTAAATTATGCTGCAATTCTATGACATCATGAGAATAATTTGGTTTTTATCAGAGAACCAACTTCTCTGACACCATTGCCGCCATAGGGAACAAGATGACTAACTGACATTATTCATCTAAAATAATGCTAGTGCTAAGATTTTAAGACCTCCATTGTCCTCCCACCCATTGACATTAACAGCCTTGTATCAAAACTCTGAAAAGAAACCATGATTATCATTTTAACCAGTTTTATTCAATTCATCTTTCAAATTTAATAAAAATTCTTGCTGACACTTTCTTTTATACAAAATTGCTGATTTATTTGTGATGCTTGCAGTTGACAACTTGCTGCACATCTCATGGTGTGACAGTGTGTGGGGTCCACATCTGAACGCCACCAATGTCATGGATTATTTCTCCGAGCGCTCCAATCCTTTTTACTAGCGTGACTGCAATAATGAGTTCATCAAGATGCAGCAGAATGCCCGCATTGATGCACTTGCGTAAGATTCAACGCATGCTTGCACTATTGTGGTTTTCATGTATATATATATATATATATACATGACAACAACGTCAAACCCCAAACTATACACTGCAATGGCCACTTCAAACGAGCGGGAGTTCTTCAAGAATCTGGTGTAGTCATTAAATTTTGCTTCAAAGAAGGTTGTAGACTTCTTCATTATTTTGACTGCATTGGAGCTGTCTCTTATACACATCTAGATGTGTATAAGAGACAGATTGTACATAGCTAGCAGCTNATGCAGCAGAATGCCCGCATTGATGCACTTGCGTAAGTTGCATAACATGCTTGCACTATTGTGGTTTTTATGTAGGTATATATATATATATATAGGTATATATATATATATTTTAAAGCACATTTTAATATATATATCTACATAACATTCTTACATCAAGCACATTTTAAACTTTCTAATACTATACAAAAATTAAATTTGGTTTGATGCAAATGCAGATGAGTTTAATTTAAATACAAATGCAACCATTAATGGCATGGCAGCCACATTCTTGCCTTTGCAATACCCCTGAAACCTTATTTGAATTTTGACTTTAATATACATTTGGTAATGTGTGATAGATAGTAGGAGTACTTAGAAGTAGGAAAAAGCCATAATGGGCAGCTGGAAATATTTTGTTGCCTATCAGGCTTTCATGCCTTTCTGCATATATATGAATTATTTAATATTTATTCATTTATGCACAAATGTTTGAAGACCAGGCTAGTGACTTCACATGGAAGCTTATAATATATTTTATTTCCACAATTAGAAAGTATATAAACTTATCTGAAGCACACTATCATTTATACAATGTGTGATGTATGAGATTGAAGTGAAGTAATTGTGCAGTCAGATGCAAGGTACAGAGTACATGCTACTGCACGCCCAGGACCCCATCCTGTACATCATCCGCAAGCAGCAACGCTACTCCCCCTCCCAAGCCACCCCCCTCGCTGCCTACCACATCATTGGCGGGGAGGTCTTCCAAACTCCTGATATTGGGTCCATCATTAACTCTAGACTCGTGAGTACTTGGATAATTTGTCTGCATGAGGCAGTAGGAATTGAAAGCAAAGAAAACCTCAAGTGTCTGATGGAGCTCTACTAACGATGGAGCTGGTTCCCAAAACATTTGCTTTTCAAATTCACGGTGAAGTTACTTGGCATTGCCTATCTTTGCTTATAAATGCTGGTATACTGATGAGATGGTGTGCAATCATTTCCTGTATTTAAAACTGAATGGTTGCTGTAGGTACTGCTTTAAAATTAACGGTGATCTTGATTCGAAACTGTGTTGCAGATTAGATGAAGGACTCTTGATATCAGTCCTATGTTATCTGATGCAAGTGTTTGTTTCTATGAAAAATATTATGCACGAATTTTAGAAAAACTGTAGAAAATTCTTATCCTGAAATGAACTAATGTATTAATGAGGAGTTTTATTTAAACCTGTCCAGCCCTCATGTCCCCAACCTGCATCTGTTCCATTAAAGAACTTCCTGCCACTGATATGTTCGTATTTCTGCCCAGGCCTCAACCATGACACACGTCAACAACTCGTTCACAGAGCTGGCTTCCTACAGTCAGTATCATCCGTCCAAAGGATACTGGTGGCACTTCCATAACAAACCTGCCTCATCACAGGCAGAACATCCCTCCAGCAACAAGGAGAACAAAGACAAGAAAGTTAGTGTGACCTTTCAGGCATTGGTATGATAATTATAATAAATATAAAAAATAGGGAACAAAGACAAGAAAGTTATTGGTTCCTCCTCAGGCTCTTGTATGATCCAATAATTATAATGAAGACAAGAACTAGGGAAACAAAGACAAGAAAGTTAGTGGTTTCTCCTCATGTTCTAGTATGATAATTATAATGAAGACAAAAATAAGGAAAACTAAGACGATAAAGTTTTTGTTTCCTCTTTAGGCTCTGGTATGATAATTATAATGAAGAGAAAAACAAGGGAAACAAAGGCAATCAAGTTAATGGTTCTCCTCAGGCCCTGGTAGAATAGCTATACCTAATAAGACATATTTTTACTGACAAATATGGCGTAGTTGACACAAAGGAAAATGTTTGCTTTTTTTTCACACTGTACAGGGGGCTGCAAGAAATAATAAAAGCACTAATTAGGTCTGTAACATGTGACCATTTTTAGAATTAATGTATATGTTGTTAAGCCAAAACATCAGGATGGTGATGAAACTATTGAGAATTGAGTGTAGATTAAATTTGAATGAATTTCGACTGCTGTAATAATGTGAAAGAATCAAGTTCTATACTATGCAATAGTTATAGTCAAGAAAAAATTGTTGCATAGTAATGTTTGATTTGGTAAAACAGATCATAGAGACTTTGTGTAGTTCGTCAGAAGATAGAGCTGTAGAAGTGATTGTAATAATCACTGTATAAATATGAAAAGTTTGCATTTAATTAAGCGTCGTTGATTAAGAATTAATTAAATATAATTGACAAGTTTGCATTTATTTAAGCGTCATTTATTAATAATTAATTAAATATAATGTATTAAATAATTTGATGTCATGCGGCAGGTGAGCAGCAAAGAGGAGGCGGCCACAGCGTTCCAGCGGCGTCGTGTGGACCTGCTGCTGCAGGACATCACCAGCAGGTTTCCTTACAGACCTGCGCAGGACGACTTCGTTGCTGCCGCTGCTGGCCAAGTCAGTTTAGAATCTCCGTTCTAAGACTCCCGGACGAGAGGAGCTTGTTCACTTAATAATTTTACTGTTTAACTTTTACTGATGACTTAATAATTTTTACATTTAAGAAGTACATTTAATTTTTTTACATTAACTTCTAAAATAGGTTATGTTCTGAATTTTATGTCATTCAAATTATTGGATTTTTTGTTGATGAAGAATTATACATATTTCGAATTTGATTTCCATTTTGCATATTTGTTACTGATAATTGATATGATATTCAGGGAGCAGCTTCCTCCAACGCTGTGACATCAGGCACCACCAACGTCACCACCGCCGCCATCACCACCACCACCGCCACCACCACTCCGGCTCAGGCATCACCTCTCGTCAAGACAGGTGCGTTGACAGGAGCTGTGATAAGAGGTAATTGACGGGGTCGTTGACAGGCTGGTAGACGGTAGCCGTGATAAGAGGTAATAGACAGGTGCGTTGACAGAAGCTGGTAGATGGGAGCCGTGATAAAAGGTAATAGATGAGGTCGTTGACAGGAACTGGACTGGTAGACGGGAGCCGTGATAGGAGGTCATAGACGGGGGTATTGACAGGACCTGGTAGACGGGAACCGTGATAAGAGGTCATAGATGGGGGCGTTGAAAGAAGCTGTTAGATAGGAGCCGTGATAAGTGGTAATTGTTGAGGTCGTTGTCAGGGATTAATATACAGAAGGTAATAGATGGGGTAATTGACAGTCCTGAGCTTGTAGACGGGGCTGGTAGACGAGGCATTGGCAGTATGTGAAGGAGGGGTAATAGACGGCGATGTAATGTGTACAGAGAGTGACGCAGTGCTGTGTATGCCCCGTGCTGTGTATGCCCCGTGCTGTGTATGCCCCGTGCTGTGTATGCCCCGTGCTGTGTATGCCCCGTGCTGTGTATGCCCCNCTAAGCCTGCCACTGATCACTGAGCCTGCCACTGACCACTGAGCCTGCCACTGCGTTTTTACAGCGCTGATGCAGTGGCGATGAGCTACTAGATGAAAGCTGGCCCTAATGTCTATGATTACACATTTCCTCCTAAATGACCTTTGAACTTCGTTGCTTTAGCTGTACATGTATATTGTATGTATAATATGTGAATAAAGTATTTTATGTAAGTCTCTATCCTCAATAAAAATAATTCGTCTGGTGATTAATCGTAACTAAACCTGATAATCCGACGGAGTAACGAGTTACTAATGTAATAAATGTAAATGCGGTTTCAGCTTTCATTAGGCCGTGGGCCTGCCCGCCGATTCTTAACATCACAGAACATTCACGACTTGTTACGATCTCGAACGCGCAACTCACTGCTTCAATTTTGCTTTGCTTAACCGCCCGGCCTCCTTGCCGATTCTGACCGGAAACTGGCGCACAGAGCTGGGATTGAACCACGTAGTTCGAGTTCACAATACCGGTACACGTAGGAATAGCATTTCAAACTTGGCCGCAACAGTCGCTCCAAGGAAAATATAAGTAAAGTGAGACTGCTTATATTTGGTCATTCTAAAACATATTATTGAATTTTTCGCCATGAATTCTGGCTTCATAATTCATTGAATCTTTGCTTAATTTGGAGTATTTCGACTTTGAGTTCAGGAAAGTGTCCTCGGGGTCGCAGGGCCCACGCTTTTGCTCTGTCCGAAGTAAGCGCTACGTCAGTAGAACTCTTATTACCAACAAGCACAGTTGAAGTACCTGAAGTTAACATCGTTTAGTCCTGCGTAATTATGTGTTATCTTCTGTGGAATACTTCACGGCTGAAATCTTCATTATAACATCCCAATGAATCCTAAAGAATTCGCTCAATGACTCAAAGTTTTTCAAATGAAATTCACAAGGATCTTATGTAGCATTTATCGTTACGTTTCATCAAATTCTGTCTAATTAAAAACAAGCTAATTTTTCTGGTAATTTTGTTGAAGAAGGATTATGGCGCAGCTTGTAAAGGAAAGTTATATACATTTGATGAGGATTCTGTTTAATTTTCAGGCGATATATTTTTGACAATATCTTGTTGATATTCCACACTTTCACGTGTAAAAAATAACGACAATAATTAAACTTTGTTTTTCGTGTACTTATCACGTGTTTGATGTATATTGTATGAAGATGATATAAACCTAAATGAAGTCACATTGAATGCATTACTGGAAAAGTAATACAAATCACGCGTTTTATGTCAGTTGCAATGGAACCAAAGGGGAAATGATTCCCCTGAAATAACGTACATTTTCTCGTAGGTTTTCTGGGCCTGCTCGCTTATGTGAGTCATAGTTATTTATTTTAATTTTTGACGCAACCTTGCTGGAAAATGTCTTGCTGTTCGAACATTTTAACAGGACAGAAAACAATATTTATTATCGCTTATATATTTATTTCCTCTGTAATAAGTATTGATAATTCGTACGTTAATACAGTTTAATGCACCAATACCGAGAAGCTCAAATAATAATAAAAATACATTTTACATCTAATAAAATTAAATATACAGCTGCTTAGGAGTATCCCATGAACAGTAATTACGATGGGCGAGACCGCTGGCAAACACGTTACGAGCATTATGCTTTAGTTACTCCTTGAGGACATTTTTTACCAGAAGAAAGCCGCGCATTAAAGTAACTAAAGTATAAAAAATTGAGATTTCTTTATCAAATTCTTTTAATTAAAATGATGTTCTCTTCAAAACGACTTATGCTGATGAGCAGAATGTAAGCTTGACATTTTCTATTAAAAAGACATATTGATGGAGCTTAGAATTGACACAGAGCAGATTTGGCTTGATAAGTGTTCACGCTGTTGTTTATGTCAATGAAGTGAGAGTTGCAGGCGACTCCCTGTGGTGTATGCATGGGCTCGAAGCCTCCGCCCTCCTCCAGCAAAGTTGGTTTAGCCGCCTAGCACTTTACCTCATATCGTACATTGAGAGGCTTTTATATTATGTAATTAGTTATTATAACCAAAGAACGACTCAATGAAAGAACGTTGATGACAATTTAAGGAAAGCTCTACATTCGCACTTCTATTTTAGTTACCAATAGTTAAATATATCTTTCTCAATATCAATAAAATTTTATTAAGAGCGACATTAAACTTTTTCTAATTATTTCATAGATAATATGAACTGTCACAATCGGTTTACAGTAATACATTACATATAAATCAGAGCAAGTCGATCATTTTGATAAAAACAAAAATATGTGAACTTCATGCCACCCATTTTGTACGCAGTTTTGGTGGTCTGCTTCGAAACTAACCCGATGCACTGTTCGGGCGCCACTGTCAGGAATTTTGGAGGCCGAAAGGCTTAAAATAGAATATAAGACGATATTCATGTCGTAACTAAGCGTACGATCTTATCGTAAATAGTTACGAATGATTTATTTTGAAACTATGCATGTAGATAGATACATAAATTAATTATCGATATATAAAGTAAAATCGGTGAAAATCCCCGATCATACACTGTAGGCCATCTCGCCGCGAGCAGTTATCACGTAACTGAAGAAGCCGACATTGAAGGAAAAGTAGACCGAAGTTTTCTCTTGCTTGTGAAACAACTGGACTGTCGACGCACCACTAGCGAGGTCTCGTAACGCCTGTTATAGCTCGCCAGGAGTCATGATAAGGCAGGGTGGCCGAGTGGTTAAAGTTCGAGCATCTAATTTGGAGCATTGAGGTGTGGGTTCGACACCAGCAGACAACTGTGAGAAGCTTTTAATCAACGTCCTATGTTAATTTAATATATTTTTCACAATTTTTTGACAAAACTCCCATCAGACAATGAATACCAAACAAAATATTCCTTCATGATGCCAAACCAGTCGACACGATTACAAAATTTAATCAAATTTATTCGAAGTGAGTTCGCATTGATAACGAAGATTTGTTTTTAGGAAAAGAAACCAATCTATCAGCAAAGCAAATTGTTTTAATTTCTATGAAAGATCCATCTCAAATGATATGAATTTTTGTGTGAATTTAAACACGAAAAATACACATTTAGTCATAATAAACAACGCATTTAGACACGAAATTATGTTTTAAAGTTGCTTGGTTCCATTTTGTTGTTTTATTTGAGATATTTTGTTTTATCTTATACTTCCGATGTCAAAGCTAAACGCGAATCGTAGCAAAATTTTTATCACTTTACTCGTCGCCTGTTCGAGCCGCACATGTAAAAATATTAGAGGCACGAGAAATTAACAGTCATGATCAATGCTATGTGGCACGAATCATTTTACTGACCAAGGCCACCTGCTGTATGTTGATTCTCCGGCTGGCTGACATGTTGAACGACGAAGTTTAGAGTAGTTAGGGATATATTTGCGATAAAGAAAATCGTCTGAAACCCTCGCGTGAGGATAACTAAAGCAGAGAAGCTGGCCCATTGCAGGTCCCATAATTCCGAGATTTTAGTTGTCGCTGCCTGCTCATGTCCCTGTTGAATACCAAAATCAAGTAAGGTATAATTTTAAAGGATTGGTTCTAAAAATTATATATATTTCCTGCCTTCCAATAATATTTTCAATTTAAATTTCATCTTACTTTCAGCCATCGTAACAAAACTTTGCTCAATGAGCTAAAACAATGTATATGAAAAGAATTTTCACTGTGCACAAAACAGTTCAAATGCTTCAAATTTCAGAGATATGGTTATATATATTCCATTAAAAAGACATGTTGATGGATCTTAGAATTGCCACAAAGCAGATATGGCTTGATAAGCAGAGCTGGGTAGCGCTACCTTGAAATGTAGCGGCGCTACCGCTACATGCTCTAAATGTAGCGGGCGCTACCGCTACCGCTACAGTCTACACCCACTAGATTGTAGCGAGCGCTACCGCTACCGCAACAATGAAGTGTAGCGCCGCTACATTAGCCGCTACAATGGCCAAAATTATTGGAAATCTCTAAATATTTATTGTTCTGCTATTGGGGTTTACTCATAAACATTTAATGATGATAAAACAAATCAATGCAACTTTATTGCAATTAACCTCACCGAACTAGTACGGGTTAGATACAGCAAATAAAAGTTACAGTTATTTTTATGTTTTACCTTCCCTACATTTGTGTGTACTTTAATCTACCAATCTAAAAAATTGTCCACATATACAAGAAACCTTGAAAGTAAGAACTTTGCTGTCCGACTGGAAAGAAGCTCGAGTAACACCATTGCTCAAAAAAGGTGACAAAACAGCCCCGGCAACTATCGGCCTGTCAGTCTGACAAGTGTTGTTTGTAAACTAATGGAATCGGTTGTGAGGGATAGGATTATCGATCACTTGACTGCTTACCATCTCCTATCAGATTGTCAACATGGTTTTATTGCCGGAAGATCCTGCAGATCCCGGAAGA